AGTATTAGTGATTTTAATTAAAGATTTTGAGAGAAATCCAATTTTAGCAAAATCTAAATTGTTAAGAGAAAAGCAAGATTACAAGGAAGTTTTTATTTTGCCTGATTTAACTGAAGCAGAGATAATGGAAAGTTATGAGCTTAAAAAGAAGCGTGACAAAATGAATGGTGAAAGAATAGCAAATTTGCTATTTAGATATGCAATCCATGGAAATGGAATTGTCAAATTTAAAATACAGCTTAACACAACAACATAAAAAATTTAAAATACAGCTTAACAAATTTAAAATACAGCTTAACAAATTTAAAATACAGCTTAACACAACAACATAAAAAATTAGTAGGTTTATTATCATTTAATGTTTTATATACGAATGCAACATCTTTAGTAAACAAAGTTGAAGAATTTAAAATCTTATGCAGTTTTAAAAATCCTCAAATAATTGCTATTACAGAAACCTGGTTTAAGGAGACATCAGAAATTTATTTAGAAGGATATTTTTTGTAGAAATGAAATAAGGGTGATGGACATAGAGGAGTAGGGGTTGTACTATATATAGATAGCAAAATAATATCTTATAAGGTAAATGAAGGTATATTAAATAGAAGTAAAAGTGAGTAAATATGGATCATTATAGTTGCAAATGATAAAAAATATTTAATTGGTTGCGTGTACAGACCAAACGAACAAGTAGATATGCTTGAAATGAGTCAAATATTCACAGAAGCTTGTAAATTAGTAAATAAAAATAATTTTGCTGATTTGTCAATTATTGGTGATTTTAATTTTCCAAATGTAAAATGGTCAAATGGATACGTTAGTGATATTTTAGTAGGTGAAGATTCTGTTGAAAATGAATTTATTAATATTATATATGAATGTTTTTTGTACCAACACGTTTCAATCCCAACCTTTCAAAATGCACAATATGTTACAAAAAATACCTTGGATCTTATTTTTACAAAAAACAATGAACGAGTTTATCAACTTGAGTCTAACCCAGTTCTAGGAAATATAAATCATGGACATATGGTGTTAACTTGTAAATTTAACCTTGGTGCTATTGCAATGGAAAATCATCCAAAGTATAAATTTGATTACAGTAAATGTGACTATCCACAAATAAGTCTAAGTATGGATAAAATTGACTGGAATTATTTATTTGATGGGTTATCAGTTCAATTTATGTATGATCTGTTTATTGAAAAAATTAGTCAATCAAAATTTATCGTCGAACTGGAAAGATTTGAGTAAAGTAATGAAATATAAAAATATTTGCAAAACTGTGATAATAGAATTGTGTAAAGCAAGATGTAACTATGAAAATGATTTTGTTGAAAAATCAAAGATAAATCCAAAACTGCTATAGTAATGCGTGAATAGTCAAAAAACGATTAAACAAGTAATTAAAGCATTAATAGATCAAACTGGTTATGTAACAAATGATCAAAATGAAATTGTTAAAATTTTAAATAAACAATTTCAAGGTGTGTTTGCCATCGAAAACTCTACAGAAGAGCGTTCACAAATCGAGAATTTAGGGGATATTTTTATTGATGCAGTTAATATAAATTATTTTGATGTTTTAAGTAGATTGAAACATGTTGATATCAATAAAACATATGGAGTTGATTCTATACATCCGTTGATTTTGAAAAATTGTGCGGATTCCGTAGCATTGCCATTAACTTTAATTTTAAAAGAATCTTTTGTTAAAAGTGAACTACCAATTCAATGGAGAGCAGTAAATATTACACCACTATTCAAAAAGGGAGATAAATTAGAAGCTGCAAATTATAGACCAGTGTCATTGACGTCAATTACTTGTAAAATTATGGAAGTTATAGTCAGAGACTGCATACAATCATATTTAATGAAATATAAATTTATGTCGAAGTCACAACATGGTTTTGTTAAAGGGAACTCTTGTACAACAAACTTATTAGAGGTGTTGGATTATATTTCATTTAATTTCTCTATTGGTATTTCGGTAGATGAAGCACTTTTAGATTTTGTTAACGCTTTTGCTGTTGCTAACAAAAGACTATTGATTAAACTATCTTCATATGGAATTAGTGGTTTATTATTAAAATGGATTGAAGTTTTTTTAAAAAACAGAATTCAAAGAGTTTTCAGTGGTGCTCCGCAAGGATCCGTAATAGGGCCCTTATTATTTGTTATTTTTATTAATGATATATCAAATATATTTAAAAATAAGTCAGAGTTGTATGCAGATGATACAAATATTCTTTCAAAAGTGAATGAAATAAATGTTGAAAACAGCTTGCAAAAAGATCTGGATAGTGCAGAGGAATGGTCTAAAAAATGGCTCTTGGGTTTTAATTCTAGTAAATGTGTTATATTACATTATGGTTTAAATAATCCGCAATTGAAATATACTTTAAATGGTATTGAACTGAAAGATTCTGAATGCGAGAGAGATTTAGGTGTATATTTTTCAACAAACTTGAAATGGAAAAAACAAATTATGTCAAGTACTTCTAAAGCAAATTCAATGATGGGTATGTTAAAGATGATATTTTCACGAATTGATGCAAAATTGGTTAAAACATTGTATAAGGTATTTATTAGACCTCTTATTGAGTTTGCAGTACCTGTTGGTCACCTTATTTTAAAGGAGACATATCACTTTTGGAAAAAGTTCAACACAGGATGACTAGATTAGTTTCATCATTAAGGAAAATTAATTATGAAAAGAGATTGGAAATATTAGATATATTTACATCGAACACACGGAGGGAACGTGGGGATTTAATACAAGTGTTTAAATTGCTAAACAGATTCAAGGAAATTTATTTAATTAATGAACTGAATTGATTCAATTACTCGAGGTCACAATTTTAAATATGAAAGAGAAATTGTGAACTATTTACCTCGGCATCATTTTTATTAAATCGTACAGCCAATTTATGGAACGCTTTACCGGAAACTGCTTTTACTTCAAAAACTGTCAATCAATTTAAGAATAGATTAGATAAGTATAATGGAAGAAATTTTAACTAAACATTTTTAAAGATATATTTGGATTAATGCTGTCAAAGTGTGATAAACCACACTCCCTGGATTCGTCCAGTTACAGTTTAACTACTAACTAAAAAATATATACATATAATATATATGGATCATTCTCCAAAAAAGTAGCAATATACTGTCCCCACTAATTTTTTTTTCAAGTTAATACTACTTTCACTTTTAACCGGTGCAAATAACAAATATACAGCTTATACAATGTTAAACTGATGAAAACCAATCCAAAATAGTATTTTCAGTGAATAAATAATGTTCCACAGACTGTGACAAGTCATGTCCGTGGAATGTCACCACCCAGACTTTTTTCTAATCCCAAGAAGTTTAAACCTTGTTGCTGGTACTTTACTTTTATTTTAATATATAATAAATAATCAAGAATACATTAAAAATTAGAGTTGACATAATATTTTCCTCAAAACATATTTTTAAAGTAACTTTTATGTAATTGAAACTCTTGTCACCACCTTAAATGTCATGTCTTTGGATAGAGTTATTAATTCCTAAAAAAAGCTGTAGGAGGCAGCAGTAGTTCTCTATGTTGCTGTTCTTGCTAAACTATCAGACATTTTTATTAATGAGTAATAGTGGGGGAATTTTTGGTGTAGTTGTTTAGTGCTGATAAGTGTTGAAGTTTTAAAAGTTGAATTTGTTAGTCTTAGTGTGTCACAGCTGTGGCAAACATACACAGGGTAAATAATTTTACTTTTTTATAAGTGATACTTTTGTTTAATAGCAATTACCTAGGCATATTTACTCCAAGGGGAACAGAGTCCAAGCCTCAAAACATTGCACTCCTTTAGGGTTTTTCCTTCATTTTGTCATGTCTGTGGATGTCACGTGGAGTCACGTCTGTTGCTTTCTGTACTCTGTGGAGTACAGAATGCAACAGACATGACACATGGAACGGATGTGACAACAAATGACAATTTTACCTGTACCTGAATTTTTTAATGCCTACTTTTAGCATTTTTAACATTTTAAAACTTTGCTCATATAGCTAATTAATTATTATTGAAAAGGTAAATGTTTCTATCCAAATAGTTATAATTTTTTCTTTACTTACAGTTAAAAAAAATGGGAAAGATAGAAAAAACATGAGAATTGAAAAAATTAAGTATGCGGAAAGTGAGGGAGAAGATGAAAGTTGAAAACCCGGACAAATATGAAGAACAAAAACAGAAAGGCAGAGAAAGAAAAAAAGCAACACAAAAGAAAATTCATGAACTTTCCGAAAGGGATCAGTAAGAAAAGGTTGGAAAGAAAGGACTAAGAGAAGTCGGGAAATGAAAAAGAAGAGACAGCAACTTATTGAAAATTTATCTACACCACCTGAAAGTCCAACTGTAAATACTCCTATTGAAAACAAAATAGACATAAATATACTTCCTGATCGCAGTCAGTAATCTAGTTCCAGAAGAAGAAGCGGGCTAAAAGTTCGTAGAAAATATAGAGATAGGTTGAAGAAAAAAGGCAAAAATTAGAAGAAAAAAACAATTTATTAAAGCAAAGAGGTGATAAATACAAACAAAAATTCTACAGACTGCGATATGCAAAAGATAATACTCCTAAAAAGGTGGTTAAAAAAATGACCAATGGTACGAAATGCTCGAAGGAAGTAAAGAAAAGCTTGCTTTTTAGCGAAGTGTTAAAGACACAAATACAATCAAATTTTTCAGGGTATTATGCGGAAAGATGATAAAGAAGTACAGACTTCAAAGAAGCCTCAACAATCTTACTTCAAGATATATCTTACCATACAACTTGAATCAGCCCTCGAATGTACTGAAACAACAAAAACTTGAAATGGAAGTTAGGAACTTTTAAAAAAAAGATGGGAAAAAAAGAAACAATATTGTTATTGTTTCTTTTTTTCTCAGAAACAAAATGAAAAAAACTAAAAAGACAATGATACAATGATACAAAATGATACAATGTTGAATTTGTAGAATGAGTTCAAACAAACAACTGAGCTCAAGTCAACGTCTTATAGCACATTTTGCAAATTAAGACCCTTTTGGGTTGTTCAACCAGACTTTCGTAAACGAGATACTTGTCTATGTGTTGACCATGAGAATTTTTCTTTGATTCTTGAAAAGTTGTATAGTTTTAAGATTTTGGCATATAAATATCGTTCTGACTTGCTAAAAAGTATAACATGTGACGGCGAGCTGAGAGAATCATGCCTGGAAAGGAAATGTGGAGTTTGTCTTTTAAACAAAAAAATAGTTTGTTAAGAATTTGAGAATGGTATGAATGAAAAAGTAACATTTCCACAATGGTCTAAAAAAAGTGTTGAACTTGTGGTAAAAGATAAAATGAAGACATGTTTTAAAACTGTAAAAGAAGAGTTAACATTAACTAAAAAAAAGCCGTTTTTGCATTTTATTAACAACTTACTGGAAAAGTTTATGTAGGATGTATGCAATATAAAACACCAGTACAAAGCTATATCAGAAATAAAAAATAACTTAGGGCCTAGGGATATTTTCATTCATTGTGACTTTTCAGAAAATTACAATTGCAAATACTCAAAAGAAATCCAATCCCTCCACTTTGGCGGATCAAGAAACTAAGTGTCAATCCACATAGTTATGGCATACTATTGTAGTATTTCTGAAAACAAAATAAAGGCAAAATCTTACTGTACAATTTCAGATAACAGGCGTCATGACTTTGTTGGAATCTGTGCGCTTTTAAAGCCTGTTGTTAATGACTTAAAAGAAAAGCTGCATGTCAATGAAACAGTTCATTTCCTTAGTGATAGAATTTCTCAACAGTACCAAAACAAGTTTATGTTCTATTTGGTTGGTATTTTTTTTTCAAAAAGAGTTTGGAGCTAAAACTATAAGGTGACATTTCACAGAAAAGGGGCACGAAAAAGGTGCCATTGATGAAATAGGGGGTTATATCAAAAGAACCGCAGACAGATTGATTGGACAAGGGAAAGATATTCTTGATATTATTTATTTGGTAGAAGAAATAAAAGAAAAGTGTCTAAGTATAACCATCTATACTATTAATAACACAGATTTTAATCTCTATGAGAAATGTGTACTGGAAAACCTAACCACTTTCAAGGGGACTTTACAAATTCATGAGGGGGTTTGGAGTTCCACTAAAAAAGAAACATTGTATATGAGAAGGCTGACATGCACTGTATGTGATAATGATACAAAATGCAAACACTATAGTATTGGAGAAGTACTAATCCCTGCGGATTTCTTGATGTATCTTCATCCTCCATCCTTTAATGTATAGCTTTTAGAAACTTAAGTTTGCTTATATTGAATATTGTATTATATTGAATATAATATTGAATATTATATTTGCTTATATTGAATATTGCAAACTTTTGCATTTCTTAAATGTTCTCTAGTTATTTATAAGTAAGAATGTTTCATTAATATTTAGTTTTTAGTTACTCTAGTATTTTAATTAAAGATTAAAATAAGCTGTGCATGAAATCTTTATTGTAAAATAGTTATTTAGCTTGTTTCTGTTTCATTAAAGTTTTTCCCATTCCATTAAAGACATTCCATTAAGTCTGCTGAGTTTATATGTATGACTAAAAGTTTTTTCTGAGGTCAATTTCAGCTATATGTAAAATCTCAAAATCCTCATTTTTGATAAAACCTGAGATTTTCTTATATTTTTTTATGATGTGAACCCAGCAGTTTTACATTTTTTATGCCTTAACTCTCTAGAAAATTTGGAAAGCCAATGTTTTTAGACTATTAAAATCAGTCTATCTATTTGGTACAGAAGGTTCATGGAAGCCTGATTCACAGAGCAGGTCGATTCACAGAGCAGGTCGATTCACAGAGCAGGTCGATTCACAGAGCAGGTCGATTCACAGAGCAGGTCGAATCACACAGTCGATAATGATGACTTGTTGAGCAACCTTTTTTTAAAAGCTGAAATGGGTTGTTCTTAAAAAATCAAAAAAAAGGAGGCTGAGAAGAGTAATTACAGTGTGTCAACAAATCCAAGGAGGCTGCTGTTTTTCCTAAAGTACACAATCAATGAGCTTTAAATAAACCAGCTGGCTACCATTGGAAATATTCTAAGATACATCTAGTTTCTAAAATCTACCAGGTAAAACAAATAATTTTTTTTATATACATAAATATACTATAAAGCAATGACAAATTTTAAAAACGGTCTATTTTATGCAATGGTCTATTTTATTTAATCTATGATCCCTGCCCCCCCCCCTCTTCCTTTCATAACTGTTTAAATTGTGACACAATGAGGCAAAAAATTATGTAAAAACAAAAAAACTGTAATGAAAAATACTTGTCTTTTTTTATTTTAGATCAATAAGATTTCAGTCGACTAAGTTGATAGTAGCCTTTAGCAATGATAGAACTTTAGCAATGGCAACTTCTCTAAGATAAAGAATAATTTAAAAAAAAAGAGTAATACACTCTTTGATATTTCATTGTCAAGTTTGAACAAAAAATAAATCAGGATTGTTTTTGTTCTGAAAATGGCAAAAAGGAAGATATTTAGTTCTATCTAAATCTAAAAGGAAAGCGAAACATGTATATAACAAAAGAATTGGATGAAGTATTACAAAATCCAGTTAAAAATAAAAATACTTGGCTCAAGAGAACGGAGGTACAGGTAGAAACCAATGAATGCAGTAAAATCCAATAAACTTGAGGTTTCTTTTCATTCATCTGAAAATGATTCTGAATCAGAACTTGGTTTCTTTAATGGATGAAGATTTACCTCTTACTTAATCTTTAGTGCTGAAGATCTAGTTGACTGTACACTGCAGTTTCTGCCTAATACAGATTAGGTATTTCCTCACAAACTTCATTAGTAGCTGCTATTTGCAATAAAGTTGGTGTAAATCTAGATGATAATAATCTATTAACAAGTACAGTCCATAGAACTGATTCAAGACGATTGAGATATTAGGAGATAAGTTCAGGCAAGAAATTATAACTACTCCAAAGGAAAAAAGCTATCTGTTTATTAGATAAAAATATAGATAAAAAAGTATAATAAATAAATATTAATGGTGACGAAATCTAACTCTTTAGGTTTATGGCTGATGCTTAATACATTCTTACCATGAGAATAATGGATAAGATCACCATGATTATGACACAATTATGCCATAATTATAATAGAGACAGCAGCCTTTTTTACATCTGTCTGGTATGCACCTTGGTTTCTAAAGTTGTATTTGGTTGTAAATCTACCCTTAAATGATCTTGCTGCTTTCAAAAAGGTTTTTGCATTGAAGTTAAATATCCTAATCTTAGTTTGGCATTGGTTGCTATGCAACAACATAACTAGTACTTGACTGAGCAGTTGGTGCTGCTATCTCTGGCTGATGAAGACATAGAGCAGGAAGTGAAGAAATAGATGTTGGATAGATTAGTACAGTATAATCGATAGATTAGTACAGCTACTAATCTTATCAGCGTCCACTGAGCTTTGGAAACTGGTAGGTGTCCAGAAAATTGGCTCCTTTTAAAAATTGCAGAAGTCCCTAATGGTGAAGTAGAGCTGTGGAGGAAAGAAAAAACTCTGAAGTCAATAGGTTTATTCAAAAAACTTGACTTTGCGTCAGCGATTGTGCAGAGAAAAGCATACGCCTTATTCAGGACTTTGTAGGTGGATACAAATCTGGCAATATGCAATAATTTAATGTTGGTGGCCAGGGGCAATAGAAAGAAACTTAAAAAAGATCTTTCCAAGTCCCAGTTAAAAAATATATAATTTATTATTCCTGTAATACATATTTTTTCACAAATTTTTGTATTTTTATTTAAAAAATGGAGTTTTACATATTGCTGAAATTGTGGTCAGAAAAAGTTTTTTTTATAAATATATAATTTATTCTTTTTATAGTTATACCTATTTTTAGACTTTTAGCCAGCATTTGTACTGTGGCTTTTTGCAATCCCTCACTCTCTACTACTTAGATGATTGATATTTTTAGTTTATGCCCCTAGAGTGTTTAAACTAGACATTATGTCCTCTCAAATTCTATTTTAATGTCATTGCATAGCAACTAGACATGTCCTCTCAAACTTTATTTTAATGTTTTTGCATAGCAACTAGACATTATGTCCTCTCAAATTCTGTTTCAGTATTTCATGATTAAATAGTTGCTATATTTATAATATATTTTTAAAATAATTTGCTAATTAAAATATATTAAGTTTATTTCGAAGAACAGCTTAGTTATTTCGGATCTTCATTGTTAGTACCACTTTAAGTTCTTTAGACAGAATTGTTTCTAACACATAACAGCGAACTGTGTAAAATGTAATATAGAATTTTGATTATTAGTAAGTTGACTAATATAACGAAGGTAATCTTTAAAAAAAGTTGTGTCAATTACTTTAAGGAAAGTTAATGCCTAAAATTGCTTTTTCTGTGGGATGTCGAGTTAAAAGACTTATCAATTGTGACTTTTTTTAATCCAAAACTAAAGTGAATACTGCTCAAAAAAATGTCTACTATCCTTTTACATATCTTTGGGATGAATAAACCTCATAGCAATGATGCTTTTTAGTTTCATTTATAAATTATCCACATAAAAACACAAACAAATAATGTATAATGATTTTAATGTGCTAATGTTGTTACAAGAATGGAGCTAAAATTCACGAGAAAAATATGTATTATTGAGATCAAATTCTCTCAGAAGATTTTTATCTTAAAAATCCCTTGTTCTCTTATAGCATTGAATTAATTTCAAAAACAGATTTTTTTGTATTTTTTTAGCAATGTATTTTTTTTTTTTTTTTTTTTTTTTTTTCTTTTGCTTTTTACACGAAAAACTCTGTGTTTTATGGAAAAATTTTCGTTTTTAATGTTTATAGCATTGGCTCCAGGGTTAAAATTTAAAAAAAACTTCAATGAAAAATAAATTTTTTTGCCATTATGTTGCAAATCAAGAAATCAAATCAAATATAAATGCTACATGCCCTCTCATTAATTCAACAGTTGATATATATATATATCTTTAGCTCCTGAAAAGACCTAAATTTGCTTTAAAAAATCTTAAATGAGTTTTGTTTATCATTAACTAACAATGCTAATATATTATTAATTTTTAATAGATTAAAGTTTCTGGGTTGAACATGAACTTTCAAAAAGAACTTCAAGGCAGACTATTTAAAGTAATATTTCAAAATTCAAAAAAAAAATCCAAAGTCAATTGTTTTCTCTTCAAAGTGGATGGAACAGCAGAGTGTAAGTAAGTTGATTTTATAAGTTATTCTATCAATACCTCAAACATTGTTATACACAAAGTGTTAAAAACTAAAAATGTTAAAATTAATGCGAATTTAGAAAAGCAAAATAACTTGTTAGTTGTAACTATACCTATCTGTTGATCAACAAAACAAAAAAAAACAAAAAAAGTTAAAAAGAAAGAAATGTAGCCTTAATCAAATATAATATTTAGAAATCCATAGAATATTAATCACAGTGGTGCCAATAAAAATTTTTTAAGCTTGCAATAAATTTTTTTTGCTTGCAATAAAAACTTTTTAAGAATGGAGCTATTGGATATTAGTTGATCACTTTTTAGTTTTATTAGATAGATAAATTTTTATTTAAGAGTGATGATAAGATTATCATTGTCTGAACATTTTTTTTTTTCTGTGAAATATTTTTTTGCAAAAACTAAAGCAATTTTTAATTATTCTATGTTTTTTATAGTTACATTTCTAAAAATTTTATGCTTTTTAACAATTTGTTGTACTTTTTATAGTTACATGCTTAAGTTTTGTATATTTTGTTTTCTTAGTTAAGAGCAATTTAAATTAGTATAACTGGCAAGTGTGAAAAAAATATTACGTGATAAGTTAAAAAAATTTTTTTGTCAAATTTATGAAATGTTCTTTGAGGTTTAGTATGAACATAAGGTTAATTGAATGTTTTGTACATGCACCTGCAATACCCAGAAGTTTTACTATTGGAGTCGGAGTCGCAATTTTATTTAGCGACTCTGACTTTGCTAAAAATGTTGCAAATCCGCGACTCTGAGGCCATAGCCCTGGTTGGAACATAAAAAAAAGAGATACATAAAAAAAAGAAAGAAAATAAAAAAAAAAAGAAACATAAGAAAAAAACAAACAGAAATTTATATATTTTTTATTAATTTATTTTATGGTTTCCATTGTACCAACCTTTTAAATAAACCAATTAACTTTTTTTAAATTGCAACAAACAGTATTCTTTAGATGATTACTATTATTTTAAGCATTTGTTTAGCATTTTATTTTATGCATGGCATTGAAGGTTTTTTTGCTTTAGCAAAAGACATTGCAACAGAAGGATATAAGTAAATTAAACTGAGTTTCAGAAAATAAATGCTTAGCAAATTAAAAAAAATAAAAAATATGTAAATCTTTAACAAAAAGGGACCTTCCCTTTTTGTTATAGATTTTTGTTATTAAGTTGAATTAATTGTTCTAACCAATATTTTTTATAGTTATTTTTTCTATGTTATTTTTATATCTTCTGGAAAAAATAATTTATTGTTAACTGCTGCAAAAAAAAAATTTTTTTTAATTTTATTAATCATATAAACAAACTGAAAAGATAAAATCATGTATGTAAGCTATAAAAAAAGAGTTTTTTTTGTTAAAGTGTTATAATTGTTTTTTTTATTTATAAGTTTTATTAATCATGATTACTTTACCGAATTGAAGTATTCCTAAGAATATTGGTTTATTAGAATATTGGAAGTTTTAGAGGTTGTATAACTTCGTTGTAAATGTAGAAGTATTTTCGTTTTTAATTGTTCTATTGTTTTAGAGAATATTGTGCATGACATTTTGACTGGAAGTGCAGAAGTAGTGAAGTCGTTGAAGTGCTGAGAATTTTTTCTGTGATGTCCCTGGTAGTACTGCATTTAACCTTTTTCCTTGCACAGCAACCATGCTTAACAACCTTGTTTGTCAAGGTTTGTGTTTAGCAGTGTTGAGAAAGAAAGAATTTTGGTAATTTCTTCAAAATCATATAATTGTAGATATGATAATTAACAAACAATACAATATGACACAAGCTTTGTCATAAGGTTTTGCTTATGTTTAGTTTGTTTGAATTGGTTAGAATAAGTTTGTTTGAATTGTTTAGTTTCTTTTAAAACTTCATGTAATTCTCATAAGAGTTGGAGTTTCTTATGAGAGTGGCTTAAAGCAAAAAGAGTTCAACTTCTAAATTACTATGTTCTAAATGACTCATAAACATTCTCTGTTAAATCATTTTTTTTTTTGATTTATATCAATTATGCATAGATCAAACTAATTTTGGCAAATACCTAAACTGTTATATCATATCTGAGTTTCTTGAATCATCATGAATAACTAGTTAGTATAATGAGCAATAAATTGTGTAAAGATTTTAAAAACTTTAATTAAACTGGTTACTTTCTTGATTATGTAAGAACTTTTATTTATTTATTCTAAATGTATTCTTTATTTGTATGTGCTTGTATCCTATAGCTTTATCTTATATTTTTAACTCAATGAGAAAATCAGACAACTATTTATTTATAATATGCTACTTGAATTTCATTCATTCATTCTACTTGAATTTCTGTCTTGTTTAAAGATAGACCTTTTTTTAAAAAATTATTTTTTTTTATTGTTAAAAATAATTTTTTAAATTTTTGCAAGGAGTCTATAATAATTGTTTATAATTTTGTTTATAAAGTATTGTAACTAAACTATTCACCTCTTGTTGATTTAAACCAATCTTAAACAAAGTTAGTTTAATCCTAAAATAAATATAAAGTGCAATTATTCAAATGTCTTATATTTTACAGTTGAACTTGGTGCCATAAAAAAGGTACCTTAACAACACCTTATACAGTTAATGCAGTTCGAAACTTAATTTCTTCTTTTTTTTTATTTTTCAAGAGTTGATTTCAAGAAAGTATGAATTCAAGAAACATCATTGTATATGATATATGAATCATGTATGATGGTGATTTCAAAGAAACACTATCATATATGCTATATATATATATATATATATATATATATATATATATATATATATATATATATATATATATATATATATATATATATATATATATATATATATATATATTATATATATATATATATATAGATATATATATATATATATAGATATATATATATATATATATATATATACATATAATTTAGTAAAAACACTTATCTAATTTTTCATCAGGACGATGAACCTACTGATGGTGAAACATGCTGTTGAAGAGCACAATATATATATATATATATATATATATATATATATATATATATATATATATATATATATATATATATATATATATATATATATATATATATAAGTTTCTAGTAGAACTTATGCTAATGCATTCACTCTATTCATCGTTTCCACAAGTTTTTCTCTAGTAGGAATTTAACTGTATAATGACAACACATTTGATGATAAATAGTTTTTGGTTTCATCTGCTTCATCATGTGCAAATTTGCTGCTCTATACATTTTCAAATATCCTAAAATAGTAAAGTGTATTCACTAAACATGTATTATATTGGTGGAATAAAGTTTTAGGTACTTTGTCTAAACAAGTTTTATAAAAACAACAACTATGTTTGAACTATAAGAAATTAATAGGCCTTTAATATGCAATAACTAAGCTTTTGAAGATTGTTATCACAAAGCCACCAATTGACAACTTTTCTATTTAATGTTTAACATTCGGACATTCTTAACATTCTTAACTTTTGAGTATATAATGCAAAAATGAAATATTAAGCATAAGATATTGAAAATAATCAAATTGACAACTTTGATTGCATATTGATCAATCAGTTTTTTTAGTTTTTTTATATTATTTTAAAACATCAAGAAATACAGTTTCTCTCAATACTAATAATTTTATTTTGTAAGAAATTTCAAGTAACAGCCACCCTGGAACCTATATAATAAAATGCAACTGCTCCAAGGTAATAAATTGGTGAAACAAAAATGCAGGTAAATACGCGAATGCATCAACATCAGAAGAGCATTAAAGAAAACAAACCTAATCAATCTGCATTAGCATATCATAAAACCTTTTGCAAAGAAAATATTATTTGGGAAAAAACAAGAACATTAAAAGTAGAAAATAAAAAGTTTGAAAGAAAAATTAGAGAGGCACTAGAAATACAAAACAACATGTGCTCTGCACGAAACGGCGGAATTAATCTTGATGAAGGCCAATATGTAAAAACTATGTTTTGGACGCCATTGTTAAAATTTAAAAATTAAAAGAAGCCATGCAACCGCTGACGTCAATAGTAACAATTTTATATAAACTATAACGATTAAAAAATTAATGTAACATTTTACAAGCTGATGATGCTGGTATCCATAACCCAGCGAATAATTTCTTACAAAATAAAATTATTAGTATTGAGAGAAACTGTATTTCTTGATGTTTTAAAATAATATATAATATACTCTCATACAAGATGTCATCTTTTAAATATATATATATATATATATATATATATATATATATATATATATATATATATATATATATATATATATATATATATATATATATATATGTATATATATATATATATATATATATATATATACACACACACACACATACACACACACAGAGATATATGTATATATATATATATATATATATATATATATATATATATATATATATATATATATATATATATATATATATATATATATATATATATACATATACATATACATATATATGTATATGTATATATATGTATATGTATATATATATATATATATATATGTATATATATGTATATGTATATATATATATATATATATATATATATATATATATATATATATATATATATATGTATATGTATATGTATATATATATATATATATATATATATATATATATATATATATATATATATATGTATATATATATATATATATATGATTTTAACATGAATTTTTTAAAGATATTTAATTTTCAATTTTCTTGAAACTCTTTAGTACCGTACTATTTGACAAAACCGGCATTTACAACAGTAACAACATCAGTTACTTATACACCTAATAAATTGCACTCTGATTCTGGAACGTTAGTAATTGCTTTAAGTGTTTCACTTTGTGTACTGCTTTTGGTGTCTGTAATGCTGATAATCTTTTTTTTGAAGTAAGAATTGTTTTCATTTTAATGCATGTAAATTGAAAAAAAATCTCTTTATACTCTATTTGTTGTGGTATATTTTAGATCAAGGATGAAAAATTTAACAAATGTAAGTTTATTTTTATAAAAAGGGTTGTAGTTGTAAATAATTTACCAACTAATAGTATAGTTGTGTGTATATAATTAAAGTATAGTTGTGTGTATATAAGTTTAATAATTACCTTTTAATTTCAATAGTGTGCATATGTTTATTTTGTGTAATTATAGTTTACATAATAATTTTTGATAAGTTTTTGATAATAACATAAACAAACAAAAAATTTTGCAGTCAAACATTTTTACCCAACTGTTTACAATTTTTTCTGTCAGACATTGAGTTATTTAAAAACAGTTATCAATTTAGTTGTTTTTGTTTTTTGTTTTTTTTTAAAAAGATTTTGAGAGAAAACTGGTAATAGATCAATCAACAACATAAGGAATCTAAGTTGAGAATCAAAATTTATATAAAAGTTTTTAAAGGTTCTGTTTAAAAAAATTATATTAGTAATTTATATATATTGTTTATAAATATTATTTTATTGGCAGTTCATTGATTAATTTTTGAGTGAATTTTGCAGAAATTGCACCTTATGACTTCTTTAAAATATTTCATAACTGATTTTTAGGTGTTGGACATTTTTTTCCAATATTTCCATCAAGTTTCTCCCGTAGTAACTTGATTAAATCAGGAGATTGAGCTGGTCAGTTCATATTTTTAAAAATTCCACTGGCTTCTTGTTTATGAATATAGTTGTAACATAATCTAGAACTTTTAATTTTCATAATATCTCCAATGCTAGTTGAAGAAAAACATCCCCATGCTATCACAGACCTACCTCCATGTTTCATTGTTCAATCTACTGTGGATCCATCTTTTTTTTTTCGTTGTTCAATCACACTGTGGATCCATCTTCTTTTTTTTCTGTTTTTCTCACAATCTTTTTTGATCCACAACTTGTGTTTTTGGGCCTACTCCTACCTTTTTTTATTGTTTGGTTGCCTAAGCAGAGGTTTCTTTACAGCAACATGAACAAAAAGCCCTGCTTCTCTAAGACGTTGTTTTGTTGTATTTACAAATATTGTCTATGAATGACTTTCATCAAATTGAGCGGTAATTTTTCTATTTTTATTTGCAGAACTACTAGTTTCTTTCGTTAGACAGTATCTTGAACAGTACTTTTTCGAACTTAAATATTACAAAAATTAAAAATATTGTTACTTTCTTTGTGGAGAGTGTTTATTTTAGAACACTCTACAATAGTTAAATTAGATTTTCTACCCAAAATTTTTAATATTTGGTTGAAATTGGTTTGAAAAGTTAAAATAAGTTGCTAAATGACAAATAGAGCATAATTAAAGTATGTTCAGTTAAACTATTGGAATGATCAGGTCCTCTTATGATGATTGTAGAACATTATGTCTAAATAGCAAGGTATAAACAAAGCTCCTTTTTTTTGAAACCCTCTCCCATCTACATGTTTTCACTGACTCATACAATCTGCAGCTTCTTAAGTCTTTTGTTTCCTTGCACTTTAATTTTATATTTTATTTACTAGAAACTCCTAATTTAATAGTAGTTGCTTGCAGTAACTTAATAGTGGTTGCTTGCAGTAACTTAATAGTGGTTGCTTGCAGCCTTGTTGGAAGTGAAATAGAATTAAAGAAAAAAAGAAAGAAAAAATGAACCATTAAATAATTAACTAAATAAAAATTTCTGTTTCAACTTTCATTCTTTTCAGTAGAAAAACAAGATGCTAAATAATCTTTGTTTAAAGTTCATAGGGGTTTAATTAAAAACCTATCCTTCAATCATTTTAAAGGTTTACATTGTTTAAATCTTGATGTTTTAAGGGTATTCAATGTTTGAAACTTATGCAAAATAATGTTACTTTAGAAGGTTCAACTTTATCAGCATCATTAAAAGAACAGTAGATAAATCTGTTGAGAATACTCTCAATATTAAATAGAGATTAGTTTAAAATATAGATGTATTATTTTGTTTACAATATTTTATGTTTATTGTACTGTATGTATATTTTATTTATCTGTATTGTATATTGTATATTTTTGTGTATAGAATATATATCTCTATATATTAATGATTGCATGTAAAAAACCTAAATAAGGTGTTTACAATACTTTTTGTAAATCATGTGTATACACAGTATAAAATAAATATATACACATTTTGTTTAATAAAATGATTTTAGTATGAAATTAGTTATTTTTGAAATTTTATATTAAAATTTACTGTTTACCAATACCATAAATTTTGAAGTTACTTTAAGGTTAACAGCTTTTTTAAAATTCATATAAAAATAATTAATTTTAATTGTTAAGTCTGAAATTCGGATTTATGAACAGCATAGCCATCTGTTGTTTAAAAACACAAGTTTTTTTACTTACTATTCCACATTAAATATCATACTTATCAACAGTTTTTAAACTTTATTTAGTAGTTTTTTAATGTTCAAAAGTTGTTTTTCTGATCAAATTGACTGGTTTTTATTAGATGAACTTTGAAATCTGAATATATTAATATACGTAAGTTAAGCATAAATAATTTAAACATATACAAATTAGGAGTTTGCTTTATGTTTTAAACTCAAACACCACACTGGGTACATTGTTGCAAACCATTTATTATACTTATTCCTCTTAAATAATTTTTTTTTTATTTGAAATTTGTTGATGAACTTGGTTGGGATCAATACTTTATTGTGATTAGCTCTAATCTTTATGATTTTTTGCCAAATCCTAATTTTGTGATCAATATTTAATAGTAAAAAATTCCTTATTTGGAATTCGCCTTATGTTTAATAAATTAATAGATAAATATTTGTTATTATTATAGGTTTTATTTAAGATATAATTTCAAAAATTTTTAAATATGATATGATGAAACATTTATCAGTAGATAAATGTTTCCTCTATCTTAACATCTAGTTTAGGTGTCCTGAGACATTCATTTTTTTAATTTTTTTTAATTTTTTCTACTTGAGTAAGAAATATTATTAAGTAACAACAAGAATTGTTGAAATATTTTTATTATATTTTAAAGTAATGCTAAAAGATAATTAAGAAATAAATATAACATTAAATACTTTGGGTAATCCATAAAAAGCTGTCCTTGCTAGTTAACCATAGAAAAGCTAATTTTTAAATTCACATTTATTTCCTTTAAAATTTGCTAAAAAAAGTTTTCAGACATTTGTTAAACTATATTTTTTAAATAAAAGAAGCTTAAAATTGTAGTTTATGATCTTTTTAAGAAATTATTTTCACCAGGATATGAAGTCCCAATAAGAAATCTATATTTGAAAGTCATAATATGATCTCTTCTTCCTAGTGTTTGGTATCCAGAAGCTCCAAAAATGCAAAGAGGCTTATGAAGTTCTTTTAGGTGAAAAAAAAAAAGACTTTTAGGGCGGAAGAACACCAACTTTAACCAGAGGTTCTAATGTATAATGTTGGCAAGCATTCCAGAGCTAGAAATTAATAGGTTTTAAGTCATTAAGCAACATTTTTATTGCAGATCATAAGTAACTCAATATTTTTAGAGCTTCTGGACACACTTGACCATAAAAAAGTAGCAATTTTAAGTCAAAATTCTTTTTGGGACTCTGCATCCATGATTTTTGCTATCAAGTTTATATATTATTTTAGGTAAACAGAAGAAAAAGCAACACAAGTAACGTTGCTGAAAACATTTATGCTGATGTTGGTTCTTCTACTTCTGGTATAAAATTCTATTGTAGTTTAGTGACTATCATTGTAACTTCAAAATATTTAGATAAATAATTTGTTTGTCAGAAAAAGAAAAAAACATATTTGCTTAGTGTTGTATTATAACACAAGACGCACTAAACAAATTTATTAAAAGCTCTATATTAGGTAAATTGAATATGGTTATTTAAAACTCTATTTATGTAAATTGAATATGGTTATTAAAAACTCTATATTAGGTAAATTGAATATGGTTATTAAAAACTTTATATTAGGTAAATTAAATATGGTTATTAAAGACTCTATATTAGGTAAATTAAATACGGTTATTAAAAACTCTATATTAGATAAATTAAATAAAGATGGTTGTTAAAAACTCTATATTAGGTAAATTAAATATGGTTATTAAAAACTCTATATTAGGTAAATTAAATATGGTTATTAAAAACTCTATATTAGGTATATTAAATATGGTTATTAAAAACTCTATATTAGGTAAATTAAATAATATTAAAAATTTTATACTAGGCAAAAGATAAATTTAATAACCATGCTGCCACAGTTGAGATTAAATTTGTTTAAAGAAAGTTTTTCCAAAAATAACTTTTATTGATATTTTAATATATATATATATATATATATATATATATATATATATATATATATATATATATATATATATATATATATATATATATATATATATATTGATTAGTTGTTTATGTATTATGTTATCTTAAAATAATACAAAAATGATAAAATTAAAACAGTAAAACAGTGCTCAATATTACTATAATAGAGCAATAAATATTTAACTTAAAGTATATTAATAATGTTATTTTTCTATATATATATATATATATATATATATACACACATATATATATATATATATATATATATATATATATATATATATATATATATATATATATATATATATATATATATATATATATATATATATATATATATATATATATATATATATATATATGTATATGTATATATATATATATATATATATATATATATATGTATATGTATATATATATATATATATATATATATATATATATATATATATATATATATATATATATATATATATATATATATATATATGTATGTATATATGTATATTAGTTTGTCCCAGCCGCCCCTTATATTCTTAAAAAGATTTGTTCATATTCTTAAAAATTTCTATTGGTTCTCACAAGCAACTTGGTTAAATTTTTTTTAAATTTTATTGGATTTAGGGGGAGCACAAGACCTTTGAACACTTACCGGGTAATCACTTTTATGCTGTTTTAAACATTAAAATATCTAAAAATAGTCATAATCAGAAAAGTAATAAAAAGTTTATCGTTTTTGGTGCAAAATATTTTATCATGTCAAAATATGTCAGATAATATGATATTTTCTGGTGACAAATGGATAGCACGCGTCAGTCATTTATCATTTGACTGCAACAGATGAATTGCTACTGCTAGGTAATTGACACATATATTAATATAGACCAAATAATACATATAATAATGTAGACCACATATAATAATGTAGACCAAATGCCCATCATATATGAACTAATCATATGTTTTACACAGGACTACTATGGGACATGGAACTAAGTTACATGCTGAAGAAGTCACTATGATCAAGGCATTTAAGGCTGCCAATATATCAATGTCTGAGATATCGAAACATACAGCGATTCTGATACATACTTAAAAATTCTGATACATATTTGAAAACAAAATCCAAACAAAATGCTTCGAAATTAACCAAGCGTGACAAGCGCAACCTACTACAAGTGGCTTCAAACAACAGTTGTAGTGCGCAATTAATACACACCCAACTGGGTATTGATTTGTCATTACGTACAACTTTCATTACGTAAGAAAGTTACATGAAGCCAAACATCTGAGGTATTAGAAGCATATGTCAACGCCAGCGATGCAGAAACATATCATGGAGAAACGTATGGCATTTGCAAATAAACATTTATCTTATTCACCTGATTGGGGCTCAATTATTTGGTCTTATGAAAAGAAATTTAATTTTGTTGGTCCAGATGGATATCAATATTATTAGCATAACTTACAAAAAGAGTCCTAGACTGTCTTGTCCAGACAATATGGTGGTGGTGGCCTCATGATTTGAGGTGCATTTTTTAAGGCTGGATCATCTGAATTGAAGTTCTTTGAAGGCAAACAAACAGCTAAAGACTATATTATTACGCTCTCTGATTACTTAATGCTATATGGGCATGCGTTATCTTGCATAAACACAAAACATACGTTTGTCTTTTTGCAAGATAACGCATCATTACATGCGGCAAAGACTGTTATGGAGTTTGTAACGGAATATGACATCTAGTTGTTTGATCATCCAATATGACATCTAGTTGTTTGATCACCCGACTTAAATCCAATTGAAAACATTTGGGGTTACTTTTCTTGTCACGTGTATGAAAACAGAAAACAATACAGTAACCTCACAAAACTAAAAATGGCCATCTAGATGGAATGGAACAAAACCCCCCAATCTTTGCTTGAAACGCTCATTTCCTCCATGTCTAAACGTTGCATTCAGGTTATTATGAAGAAAGGTAAAAAGATTGACTATTAGGTTCGTTTCTACGTCTTAGTAATCTCTAAAACCTGCTAATATGTTGTGTGTGCTATTGGTTTAGCACATAATGTATTTTTAATTTTATTCTTTTATATATATATATATATATATATATATATATATATATATTTGAACATCTTCACTTCCAATAAGGTTGCAAGTAACAAGTATTATATATATATATATATATATATATATATATATATATATATATATATATATATATATATATCAGCGAATTGCAAATAATTCGCTGATATATATATATATATCAGCGAATTGCAAATAATTCGCTGATATATATATATATATATATATATATATATATCAGCGAATTGCAAATATCCGGTAATATCTGTGGTCATTAAATTCTTAGTTTTTTTAAAAACCATAAACTCTGTTTTAATAAAACGATCAGTTTCATTATTGCAAAAATTAATGAAAAAGCAAAACAATAAATTTACTACTGCAAAAATAATAACAGTCAAAATTTACATATTATTAGTTATTGTTTTTTTAAACAATAATTAATAATATGTAACTTAAGGATTATAAATAAAAAAAAGTTGCAAGACAAAAATTATTATTACTAAAGGTTCAAAAAACTTTCGTGATAATTTAAAAATCAACTTATTAAAAACTATGTTTAAGCTATTTGCGCATTGTATAAAACTTTGTAGAAAAAAAACAACCAATAAAAAATTATGCTAAAGCTACTTGCGCATTATATAAAACATTAAAATAGATTTTTATTTAGGGGAAAAAATTTATGGAATTATTTATTTAAAAATTTAAATGTTTTGAATTAGAATTTAACTATTTAATAAGAAAAAAAATTATAAAATATATATTTTTTAAATATGTTATTAGAGTTTCTTTTTTTTTTGTTTTAAAGTAACTATTGAAAAAATTAAATTAGTTTTTATATATTAACTCCTCCGTCTTTTTAATTTTATATTCGTATCAGCTAAAGTGTTACAAGCGAAAAATTTATAAGAAAATGTTGAATAAGATTTAAACAACTTATAAAAGTATTTTATATCTTAATTAACAATATTTATTTAAAATATTCGATCACTTTTAAAGTCCCTTAGATTGTTGTGATTAGCGCTTATTTTTTTAATATATTTATATCGTACTTTATCGTGCTTTATTTTTCTAGTTTTATCTGATGATTTATAAAATAAATTAAAATATTAAAGTTTAAATTATAATCTTTAATAATAGTTAAAATAATAGTGATAATATGGTTTTAAATTAAGATTTTATATCATAATCGACGTAAATATTTTTTATTAAATGATATCTATTGAGTTTAGTGATAAAACAGTTTTACGATTTTTAAAAAACTAAAATTTTAAAGACCGGAAGCATTTCCAGAAATCACAATTCGTGATCACTTAATTCGAGCCCTGTATATATATATATATATATATATATATATATATATATATATATATATATATATATATATATATATATATATATATATATATATATATATATATATATATATATATATATATATATATATATATATATATATATATATATAAAGTAGTTTTAAAGAGCGCGTTAATAAACCAGACCAGAAAAAGTTGAAAAGCCTAAATATTTTTTTTTTTTTTTTTAAATATTTAAGCTTTTAAACTTAATGATAGACTGCCTGCTCAAACCAAACCCTCAGTCGATGTAGCAGCACTGCCTTGCAAGTCAGGCTATTTGTCAGTCAATATAGCAGCACTCCGTTGCGAGTCAGGCTATAAGATAGTTGATGTAGCAATGCTCCCCGCATGTTTTGAAAATATATTTTAATAAAACAACAACAAAAACACCATTAATTTAAAAAAACTTTCTAGTCATTATTATTGCGGTTTTTTTAAAAAACAATAAAATTTAATATACTTCGACATTAGTTTAATTGCTTTGACATTTCGACAACAATAAAATACAGCTTAAGAGTTGAGGTAGCATAATTGTAGTCAAAAGAGACTTTTTACCATAAAAGTCTCTTTCGACAACGATATAACAATATATATTTATATATATATATATATATATATATATATATATATATATATATATATATATATATATATATATATATATATATATATATTTAAACATCTTTACTTCTAAGGCTGCAAGCAACCAGTATTAGAGTTGGAAGTAACAAGACTTAAGTTGAGTAGAAGTAAATGATTCAGATTATCTTGAAAGGGATCTAGGAGTTGGAGTTTACCCTTTTGTGTTAGAGATTGAGAAAGACAAAAGTCGTGGGCCTTAACACCTGCAGAGTCACTGACATAAGATCCAATCTATTCAGTGTGATGAGCATTAAAGTTACCAACAAAAATGATATTGGCTAAAAAATAAAGAGAAAGTGCTTGGTCAATTTGATCAGAAATAACATCGAAAAGAGTGCAGTCTTGAGATGAAGGAGAGCAATATAGAACAAAGAGAAAGATGATAAAGTGAAGTGGTGCTAAACAAAAGGACACAGAAGAATAGTCTGGCTTCAAACCTAGTTTCCCAACAATTCAGTGAATTTTTACAAATATAAATGCTCAGGCGAAGCATGTGACTATTGGATTCTTTTTTTAAAATTAAGGAAATTTATACGAATTAAAGAAAGATAATCATCAACACTAAGATCACAAGATGAGACAGCTGAACTTAAATTAGTCTCACAAAAAGCAAGTAGGTGAACAAATGGTGAACTTGGCAACAGGTAAGACTCAAATGATGAAAAGTTACTTCAAAGACCACGAATATTAGTTAATGTTAGATTTAAAGAACTTGGTGATGGTACGGTCTGTATGCGGTGATGGCAATGTTTTTATGTGTTTTTCGTTAGTTTTTCGATACTTTTTTAAATTGGTTAAAGAACTTGACTCAAACCACAAATATAACTCAGAACATTTTCTAATAGTTCAAGCAATTGCCTCATTACTATTAATAAACCCTAAGCTGTGAAAAAGGGCTCCAAATGTTGCCTCGACAATGCACATCAAAATTACAAACAGGGGACACCATTCATGTGTAATATGACACTGTTAGTACTCTGATATATTGCAACTGTTGATGGAATCAGTCTCTCTTAGAGCTACAACATATTTCGTGAATCCTGACTACCAGCGGGCCTCAAAACCATAAAACTGAGTTTTAATGCTGTATCCTCATTAGGAGATATTAAAAGTCAATAACACATTCCCAAATAATATAAAATTTGATGTAATATAATTACAAATTTTAAATAAAACTCTAAAAGTAGGCAAAATATCAAATAAAAGTTAAAAAAAATATGTTAAAGTTATCCCAAAAAGAATAAATCACTTTTTAACAAATGCATACACTGCCTGCAAAAAAACAAATGCATACACTACCTGCAAAAAAACAAATGCATACACTACCTGCAAAAAAAGCAATTCCAATTTAATTTAGAGATAAAATAAAACAAGAAAGAAAATGCATGATATTAAAACATCATAAACATGATGTTTTTAATAAAGTTGAAATAAACAGATTGGCTGAATGTTTTTTTACATTGAAAGATCACAAAGACAACTTTGCTAATAAACATGCAGTTTGACCTTTGAATCCAGATAAAAGTTAGGTAGGAAGAGTAAGCAAAGTTATTTTATCTACAATTAATAATGAAATCAAAAGTAAATTATTTCTAAGCAATTGCAAAACACCATGGTTACTATATGATTTGTGAAACTAAAGGAGGAAGCATCTTTATCAATTTCTAGTTTTTGACATCAATGATTTTTATCCTTCAATAAGTGTAATATATAAGTGAAAAAATGCTCAACACCACAATCTACAGACTTGGTAATTTATTCAAATGTGTTTTATTTCTAAGAGTTTCAGTACATGGCGTTATTGATTTACATCAATGACGCCATTAGGAGTGTACATCATATATATATATATATATATATATATATATATATATATATATATATATATATATATATATATATATATATATATATATATATATATATATATATATATATATATATATATATATATATATATATATATATATATATATATATATGTATATATATATATATATATATATATATATATATATATATATATATATATATATATATATATATATATATATATATATATATATATATATATATATATATATATTAGGGTGTCCCAAAACGCAACATTTCTGAAAAATATATGCTGCCACCCCTAATGAGTTCTAAATGATAAAAAAATACTGGCTTCAAAAAATTTTTGAATCCAGATCCTTAAACATTTCACAAGTACTTAATTTTATCACAAAATAAGTTTTTCAAAAGTATATAATGTTTTAAATGAAGCAAAATTTTATGAAAATTTTAAAAATGATAATTATGTTATATAAAAATATGTTAAATTTAACAGGAAGAAAAATAAATTTTATTAACTAAAAATGAAAAAAGTGCGTTTTTATCAAATTTTTTTTGACAATAATTTTCATTTAATAAGTTTTTTATAATATAATTATCATTTTTGAAATTTTCATATAATTTCGGTTAATTTGAGACCCAACACTTTTAAACTAATTTTTTTTCATAATATTAGGAACTCGTTAAATATTCAAGGGTCTATTAAAGGTGCATTAAGGGTAGTAGCATATATTTTTCAAAAATGTTGTTTTTGGGATACCCTTATATATATAGATTGTATATGTTCAAGTTTATTAAAGTCCATCTAATAAACTTGTCAAAACCTTACATCCAACATACCAATTTCTCAGTTTCAACTAACTCTGTGAATTGAAAAGTGAATTAAAAAAGACCAAGATAATGGCAACCTAATAATGACTCATCATTAGAAACCTTTGTTTGGTAATTTTTAAAAACTTTAATGAACTATGTAGCAATGACAGTGTTATAGTAAACAAAGTAATTTGATTTAGTTGTGATTTTGTATTATAGTATATTTTATTTGTATTTTGTGTAATAAATAATTTTGTCTTTAGCACCTCATAAAGGGCAATGGACATCACAATATTTAAAAATGGATGAGAAACAAAACTCACAAAATTCAACATTAGGTTCAAACCTGTTGACAACAAAATCAAAAACTTTGCTTCCAAAAAAGTTGGGTTTGTTTTCTGGTTTTGATCATAATAAACCACCTTGTCAAAGTTTACAGAATGAAAAAACAGACATGGATAATGATATTTATTTACAACCTGTTCAAGAAACTAAAAATAGTGAAACAAATGACTACAATGAGGTTCTTCATAGGAATACACTTCCTTTACCTAAGGTAAGTTTTCACATGAAAAATACCTTCAAATGATTCAAATAGAATCATTTGAGGGTATTTTTAAAATCTTTTAAAGTTATATTTTAGTAATTAACACTTATTACTATAATTGTATAAAGTGTTTTCAAAATTTATTAATATAATTGTAAACAGTGCTTTCAAAAAAAAAACTTTGTTATTAAAAGCTTGTTTTAAAGCATTTAATAACAAAGTTTTTCATAAAATAGAAAAGAAAATCAAAATTAGTGCAACAAAAATAAACATCTAAACTTTTTATTTGAAATATTCCCATGTACTTTTTTGTAACATCTATATTTACTTTTTGCAAGGTTGTTGCAAAATTTGGTTGGAACTCTTCTCCAAACTGTATCCTGTACTCGCCTTAGGCTATCTATAGATCTGCATTACCTCATCAAACCTTTATAGGTCTCAATTACCTTAGCAAAACTTTATAGGTCTCAATTACCTTAGCAAATGTTTGCTCCATCCAAGCCTAAATAGATTCAATTTAATTCAAATCTTTCGAACTTCCCTATTATAAGAAAAGGCAGTTAATCTACCTTATTGGGTAGATTAACTGCCCTTGGCATGCGCCACATCTTGTTGAAACTTTCACCATTATTTTTGATCAACCGTCATGTCTGCTGATGGAAGCATGCAGTTCTTTAGCTTCTCTATGCGTGTTGGTTGATTTGCTCTTGTTAAATGTTACGCACACTAGATCCCTTAAATAATAAGGCAGCCCCAAATACCAACACTCCCACTGCCACCTTGCAACCCTAGTACAACAAAGCAATTACAATACTTTTCAGATTAAAATCTTTTAACAAGGTTTAATCTGAAAAGTATTTTTTAGATCATTACCTTTTATTATATAAACAAAAAAAATCTACTTCGAAGTTTAGATCTTTATAAAAACTATACTTTTTTAATATTTTATAAAAATAACATTAAAAAAAGGTGCAACCATTAAGATTAATAGAAGTAGAATAAAGGAAAGTTATTGGGAACAAATACAAATTTTGCAGTCACAAAAAAAGTATAAGTTGCATTAATTTTCTTTCTGCCAACCAACATACCATTATTTTTTTGGGTATTAATTTTTTTTTTGTTTTTGTTTTTTGTAAGGTACTAAGAACGGAAAATTGCTACAGTATGCTTGAAACTAACTTGGAAATTTCTACGTATGAATCCCTTCGTGAATTTGGAGAGACTTCTAATAACTTAACCCTTCCTACTAACGAGTTAAATGATATGAAATACAGTAACAGTGTGCCTTCTAATGTTGATATTCGTTCTGGGTCTCCGTTTTATTTTGAAACTGTAGCATGTTTTTTGAACGAGTCGTAATTTTATTATTGTTAAACAGGATGTTGCGTTTGCAAATCATCATTTTCACAATTATAACCATGGATATATGAAGACGTATTTCTAAAAGGAGCTAAATTACATTTTTTATTGTTTTGAGAAAAGTAAAACTAATTATCAAAAAAATAATTTTTTTGAATCTCAATAATTTGGTAATCGTAAATAAGAATGATGGACAATTTTTTTATTTATACTAATATTGTTAGATTCAGTGCCGTGGCAAATGAGTCTGCCCCCCCCCCCCCCCAAAAAAAAAAAAAAAACTAGCCATTTGGACCCCAAATTTTTTTTTCTTTCTTTAAGAAGTGGATAAAATTTACAGATTACCCCAAAAAGCAGGGTACCTGACATATATTAACGTCGCAGTTCATAAGACTAAAAATAATCAAATTAACGCTTAAATTCAATTAAATATATTTTATAGTTGTTAAATTGATATAGAGTTTACTAGCAAAGAGTTTTTTTAAATACTGTTAATGTATTACGCAGATAACACAAGTACGTCGCAAACTAACAAAAAAAAAAGAGTTTGCGACGTGTTTTCATGCTTGCAAACTCATTTATTATGCCTTCATAACTTAATTTCCTAGCAACCTCGATTTCAATCGACAGCGTTGCTAAAGAAGACAAACGTTCATCGACCATTATTGACCTATTTAAAGATACAAAGAAATATAGCTACATGTATTTATGTATAATGAAGCAAGTATTATTTATACTAACCTATGAAAAGTTTTAATTAGTTTTAACTTGCTAAAGCTACGCTCTCCACTTGCAACAATAATTGGTAAAGTAAGAATGTAACGCAACAACTATATTGGGATAAGTTTCTTGTAGCTCTTCTTTGAGGCATTTTTTTCCTTCTTAACTATGACAAATCGTTTTAATTCCATTACTAAATCCTCAAAATCTATCAAAATCACCAAGCTTCATTTGCAATATATAGACAATGAACTTTTATTACAGGCTTTGATAAGACTCTCAGATAGGTAAAGAAAGTCATAAAGCTTTGTGACAATGCTGATCTGTTCAAAACGCTCTTTTACTGATGCAATTGACATATCAATTATAGCCAAAAATCTGCTTTATACTGATGTTCAGGTTGCTGAGTGTGATCAACACACTTGTATGAATAAATCGACTTTTTTTTATTCGTAATTGTATTATTGGAAAAACTTTTTCAATACTTCTGTGATTTCTGATGCCTTAATACGCGCGTCGGAAAATCCATTTTTGCGATACTCATAAAGAAATGCATTTGCTGCCTTAATTTCACTAGTTAATATGTCGAGAGAGGTTGCAGAGCTTACTTGATTTGTTTATTTGTAATAAAATATCATACCAAATAATGATTGATAAGAAAGACCATGTTCTAATATATCTCGTGAGCGATCATACTTCTGCGGCTGTAGCCCCATCTCTGTTCTCTAAGTCATGTTCTCTCAAACTTTCGAGTGCCTCTAAGATTTATTTTAAATTACAGTGGAGTGGTTTAACACAGTTTATTATACTTTCCCATCTGGTATCTGATTGTGGTTTGACAGAAATAGCCAGGCACACTTTTAGATTTTACCATCGAGGAGGAGACAATGAAAAGAGTGTATATAACCTTGAAAGAACACCAAAAAAAGAAATTACACTGATAGATGACCTATGCTTATTTTTTCTTTGTGCGAAATGGCGTACAATCTAAAATAATAATATAGTATTTTGCTTTTTTTACCCTAGATAGGTTTTTGGATTCAATCTCCTTAAACCTCATTCTGTGTGTCATTCTCAAATAGTGCTCATTGATTTGTTTGTCCTGAATTCTTTGCATAAGCTCATTGATAACGGTATTTTACTTAGCCAGTAATTCAAACACCCCAGGAAAGTTAAAACATCCTAAAAGCACATCTAAAGCACTGTTCAAAGCACTTAAAATGTCCACTGCATGTTTTGTGTTCTTTAAGTTTTTTTGATAAGTTCATTATTTGTCGGAATGGCGAAGAAGATATCCCAAAAAGTTTGCAACAAAAACAAAACACTTTATTGCTATTCAAAGAATATACGAGCCATGTCCGTTCAAAGATTTCTCCATTCTTCATCTTGCTGTTATAATAATTCAGTGAAAATCGTCTTCTTTCTAAATAGTCTGGAAAATCAATTTCAATCTATTTAAAAGTATGTTTAACAATGTCACACCTCTGTGCGTCAAAAACATCATCAGGCAACTCAGAAGGATCATCACTGAGAAAAATAGGCGGAATTGTTTTGCCATTTGATGCAGACTCACATGTCAAATATCTGTTTCTAGTATTCAATAATGACAATCAGAATTGCTGGTTTCAAACTGCTGGTTTCAAAAAATTTGTTAGTTTGGGGTATTTTGTGATTTTCTCCCTGGCTGCAGCTTTTTCTCTTCTCTTAGTGGCACCACTTTTCACTTTTTTCATACCAATATTTATATCGTAAAAAACTAACGAAAAATAAATATAAATTTTGTGAACCTTCTTCATTGTTTGTTTTTTATGATATAAAAAACTAACAACGCATAATAATAATAAAAAAATCAATTCGAAATTGCAAAATAAAGATGATAAATTTATAAAGCTTGTGTTTTATAATAAAATTTGGACCTCGGGAGTGCTATTTTTTTTTTTTTTTTTTTTTTGCATTAAAAACGTTATTGCTTTTTTTACGCTTGCATATATTTAGGTATATATTAAATATTTTTATTCTCAAAAATGCAAAATTTTGAAAAAAGACCCTAAAAATGCTGGGCCCACCCTAATTGGGGGGCGTGGGGGAGCCTAGCCACGGCTCTGGGTAGGTTTGCACCTTTTTTTAATAAAGAATCCGAATCTTGAATAAACTCTGAACAAAAAGGAATTTAGCTCTCTTTTAGAAAAAAACTTTTTACATGCAATATATCCGTTTAGCTCTCTTTTAGAAAAACACTTTTCACATGTGATATATCCATTTATTTAGCTCTCTTTTAGAAAAACACTTTTCACATGCAATCCATTTATTTGAAAGTAACTGTTGAGTAATAGATATAAAATTGTAATAATTTGTTCGGTAAAATTAAAATAACATGTTCGGTAAAATTAAAATATCTCATTCTGTAAAGAGGTTAAGCGTGTTCAGTGTAATAATGACTTTTTTTTTATTTAACGATTTTAAAAATATATGAACATGGCTAAACCGAATAGGATATATAGTTAAAATGTTTACGTTTCTTATATATAGAAGGCTCAGAGCAAAAGACGGACATTTTTTCAAAACGAAGAAAGTCTTATAAATTGATGCAAATCCGAGATTTTCTGATATTCAGCACAAGAAGAGTTATTAATGTTTGTTATTTGTCTACCGATGTCTGATATTCAGCACAAGAACAGTTGTTAATATCAGTCTACAGATTTTGATATCAGTCTACAGACATTAATAGTTGTTTACAGATTGATACTACCCCCAAAAACTACATCGGATTATACACTAAACTTAATTTTCGCCATTTTTTCAGTCACAACGTTTTTGCTCTGAGTCCGCCTTATAAAAAAATACCTTAGTGTATTAAAAACGAAATTTATATTCGGCCTATTTTACAGAAATGCAATAAATATTATAATATATAGGGTTGATTAAAAAACAGATTTTTTTTTTAATTGTTTTCTAATAGCTTTAAATATATGCGATATAATAAAATATCACTGAATAAACAAAAATTTCGAAAAAAAAAATATTTTTAGAGGTGCCCTAAGTTCCTTGAACATTTATAGGGTCCCTAATATTCTGGGGACAAATTCTTCAAAAGTAGGTCAACCTGGTACTCAAAAGAAGTGAAATTTTATAAAAAGTTCAAAATTAATGATTGTTTTATAAAAAAACATATCGAAAAAATATATATTATCAAAAAACTGTTAAAAACTTTTTTTTTTTAGTTAAAAACCATAGTTAATATGGATGGTTAAGCGCCGAACCAGTCTATACAACAAATATGTTGAAACGAGATAATTAGACGCAAATTTTAAAAGTTTTAAACTAAAGCCACTAAACAAAAAAATTTAAAAGTATTTGCAGCTAAGTTTTAATCATAGTATATTTGTGTTAGCAAAAAAACACTACATAAATCTTTTTTTAACATAAGGGATCGTCCACAAATTACGCAACGCAAAGCTTATTTTAAAAATATAAGTAGGAGAACATTTTGCTCTTTTGAGCGGCGGCTTTAATTAAAGACTGTGCGAGGGAAAACTTTTAACACTTTCTCTTTTGTCTATTAGTTAAATTTTGCGTTACGTAATTTAAGGACGATCCCTAAACTAATTTTTTCAACTTTGCTGTATAGGCAGGTTTGGCGCTTAACCATCCATATGTAATAAAGTTCAAAACAATAATTTTTTATAAAATAAAAATTATTTTTGAACTTTTTATAAAATTTTGCTTCATTTCAGTACCAGGTTTATCTACTTTTGTAGAACTTTTTTTCAAAAACATTAGGGACCGTGTAAATGTTCAATTGACTTGGGGCACCTCTAAAAATATTTTTTATTCCCAAATTTTTTTAAATCCAGTGACAATTTATTATATCGCGTATATTTAGAGCTATTACAAGACAGTTTTAAAAAATTTCTGTTTTTCAATGCACCCTATTATATAGGAGAGAGTTGCCTTAATTGGAACAATTTAGGAATAAATATTTATTAACCAAAGATGGCTTAACTATGATAACATTTATGATTTTATTAATACAAACAGACATCTCTACTATACTTTTAACCACAACTTGACTTAATTGATTGCACTGTTATTGGAAATAAATTTGTTTTTTTAAAGTTACCATTTTGTTCCAATCAAGGCAACTGGTTCCCTAAATTGGAACACTTTGATTCCTTCATCAGAATAGGTTATTTTTTTTAAAGAAAAAATCCAGTAAAATCAACAAAAAATTGTAAAAAAATGATTTTAAACATTACAGTGAAAATTTAAGCAGTTAATTCAAAACTTATTATAGGATTAGAATTACCCTGATAAATTTAAAGTCTATAAACAAAAAATTGTATAAATCTTCAACTGTTACGACGTTCTATAAATTTATTGATTAAAAATCACTAAATAAAGTATTATTTTTAAGGTTTATGGCTGTTACTAAGTATTTATTTTATTTCACTCGAACTACATTTACAACCCTTTGATTTTATTACTGATTAATTAA